GGCGACTTGGCAGGGAGCTGGAGCCCAAGTGGATAAATCTTTGCTGACTGCGCTTCCTCAAGCTGCAGGGTCTGTTTAAGATGGGGACACCCAATATTCCACTTAAGGATCTTTTTATTGCTGGCACATGAAACTCTTCCCTTTCCCCAAAGTTTCAGTAAAATCTACTCCGCACAGAGGTCTTGGATGAATGACTGTGATTGTCTGTGTGTGTGTTTGCTAGTTTGTTTTTTGTTTTTGCACACACCATTGGAAAGGGCCAGAGTTCCACAACCTGATCAGTGCAGAGCGGAGACAAGAGAGCCGGCTTGGGGCGTGATCGGCCCTCAGACCACTAGGCCTCTGTGGGAGCAGGCACTGGGAAGTGAATGAGAGCGTGAGGTGGGAGCCCCGAGAACACACACAAGTCATGGCTGGTTTGTGGAACTGGAGTTTGACCTGATATCTTGGCCACTATATATATATATATATATATATATATATATATATATATATATATATATATTATCATCATTAACATGATTCCCACAGAGTTGAGAAGTTTTACTGTCTAGCCTTCAGACAGATAAATTAGGGCACTGAGAGCTCAGTCACTTCAACAAACGCTAAAAGCCTAGCTCTCTTGTTCAAAAGCAGCAAGACAGCCCGGGCCCTGTCTCAGCTTTCACACTGCCAGCCTGACACTGAACTCACAAGGAAGACAGGACCCTTTGGGAGGAAAGAGCCCAAGGGATGATGGATGTGGTCTTCTGAGCAGTCTGCCCTGGGAGGCGCTGCCCACAGAGCACCGCGCAGGAGCACAGCCCTTCCCAGCCTGGGGCCAGAGGAGGGTCACAGGGCAGCAGAGGAGTCAAAGTCTAGGAGGTCACCTCCAGCCTCCTTTCCACCGTCTCAAGTAAACCCCAAGTAGGGGCTGCATTCTCAAAAGATACGACCACGGGATCCGCTAGGGCTTTCTAACATAAGTGGGAGCATCTCTGCCATTACCATAGGGTATAAAGTTAAACTGCTGGTGAGAAAATTAAAATTAAAAACAAAGAAATAACCCCCAAACCAGGTACTATGTGGGCTAACCAAAAAGGTGCCGAGACTCACCATGACAGGTTAATTGTGTATCTTTATCTACAGAGTCGGCATTTCTGCTCGTATTTCTGATTTCACCTCCAGAATCTTTGACTACATGAAGGAATCTGAACACAGCCACTATTACATATGTATATGTGAATATAAATCCAGATGTAAACATAAACATGTATTTAATCTTCTTCAACCGATTTTCAAGTGAAGGTACGTGAAAATTGTAGAATTTTGGAGAAAATTTGTCCCCAAGCATACCGTTTATGTACATGTAAAAGCTCCTCTCTAACCTCTTTCCAGATTTAAAGCAAGTTAGCCAGAGGATGAAATCCCTTCACAGGCGCCCTGTGGTCCATTTGCAGAGGTTGCAAGCTAGCAGCCCCCAGGCTCCATCTGGGACCTTCACATTTAATTGTTTGGTCCACACAGTGGCAGCCAGTGCAATTTCTTTTTAAGTTGAATTAAACATGGAAACGGTAAAGCTCCGGAGCTCTCACAGAACTCCCTGTGCTGTCGTTCTGATATGCCCGGCCCTCACTGTGCTTACTGCCATGAACTGCCTGGCTGTTTCAGACTTCTGAGATGGTGGTGTAGACTGGATGGTATGGAAAGCTGTTCACCGTGGGGGCTCTGCTCATCTCTCTAGTCTAATCTTTTGCCTTCCTCATGCCCTGTGTACCAGCCTTACTGGACTGAGCACCTGAAGTTTCCTGATCGGCCAACTCTGCTGTTTTCTGGGTCCAGAAAGTCCTACCCCATGTCTTCCAGGGGAACCTTCCAGGCTACTTCTCTTGACCAAAGGCCTCTGTGAAGCCCTTCCTGACCTTCTTTCTGAGGACTGGCTGCTCTCTCCTCTGCATCCATCTGGTACCTGGGGCCGCACAGGCTTTCCTTGCTCAGCCCCCACGGCACTGCAGCTTTATGCATTTTTTGCTAGCAGGTCTTCCCCAACAGATAGGAGCTCCTTCAAGGTGGGGACCATGTCTCATGTGCTTTTCTTTCCACTGCCTGTCAGAGCGCCAGACACGTAGATGATGCTCCAAAGAGCCCTTTTGAAGTGAAGAGAGCTCATCATCAACCTTGGTCACCTATGAGCCAACCATGGGTCAGGACAGTGGTCAGAGAGGGGTCACATAGGCAACAGGCAGTGTGGCAGGGCAACTGGGAGCATGTCTGGCCTTCAGGGACAGCACACTGGGGTGAGTTCTGCTGGGACCTCCTCATGTGGAGGGAAGAAGCCAGGGGGTACTATCTCAAGGCAGTCCAAGGTGAGCTGGATGCCACCCCACTGGATCTCAGCCCTGGGATCCAGTAGGTAGTGAGCAGGAGCCGACCATCCATCCTGCCCAGCAGGGGGCTTCCCCACTCTCCCACCCTACCTCCCAAGGACAGAGGGCTCTCTAGCACTTCAGGGCACTCTTTTACACCCCCATTCCAGAATTCAGCCTAGAGGAGAGTTTAAAAAATTATTCAACTAAATAAAGTAAGTGCTGCAACTTAGGATGGGGTTAAAACAATTTTTTAAAAGGTTAAAAAAGCTGCTTGCTCTTCAGGTCAGTAACTGTCATAACGATTTTTCTCTTGCCATATGCTCCTCTGAATCGCATTAATATGACATCTCTCTCTCTGAAGCATCTGGTCTCAGCCACTTCAAGGCGCACAAGGAAGTCGCACATTCAGGCTGAGTATATAGTAACACGAGAGGTATTCACATTCCTGCCATCACAAAACAAAATACTTGCATAAATCTACATTGTGTTCTATCCAGCATTCCAGAAATGGTGCAGGAGATAATTCAAATCAATGGAGGCAGAATTTGGGGGGCTTTTGTATGTCTGTATATTGTATGTGTGTATACATTTACATATAAATGTCTAAATACGTGTGCACATATACATACATGGTTCATGAATTGGCAATTGCCTTCATTGCTCAAACATAGATTCTTGTTTTCCATTGAAAGGAGCTAAACATTTTAAGCATCAGGTGAAAACAGAGCCCCACCAATCTGCAAAATATGGGCAGAGAGGTAGGGCATATCTCTATTTCAGTACTTTGAAATACAAAACGGGAAATTTTCCATCACAAGCCAAAGGCAAAATAGCATTATCAACCTCCAACCACATTTTCCAGACTAAGAAAATATCCAGCAAGCAATGAAGGACAAAGGGTTTCCTCTCTCTCATTGGCAATAATCTTTATCAAACTGATATATTTACTTAAATTTTTCCCAATAGCTCACACACTTTCTTAAAGGGTTCATTAAAGTATCCAGATGGGTTTAACAAAAAGTTTACCACCTAACAAATGGTTCCAATGTCCGTCCTTTCCTTATCCTGAAGATTCTTACGCTTATTTTGTCAGAAGCACAAAAAGTAGAAATGCAATTGCATTTGTGCTGATGCTGAATGTTAATAGATTTGCCTAAATGCCTGCTACCAGCCCCCTAAAATTAGCTAGCCTAGTAGTGCATGCCTAATGTGGTGGTGTTTTTGTTGTTTTACTTGCTTTTTTTGCTTCTCCTCGTTTTATCAGAGGAGAAAAAGACCCCTAGAAAAAAGTCGAGGTCTTTGGACGTGAAACCTTTCCAGTGTCATATGTGAATTCTGCAGAAAGAACATACATTCTGAAACTATCCCACAGTTCTGACATTCTGTCACGAAGGTGACAAATCCTAGTGCTCTAATGTTTCATTAAATTAAACATGAAATGTTTAATGTTTTGTTAAATTAAACATGAAGCCGTGACTTTGCACCCGAGAACCACAGCCTTCGATCAATTCCTCGCATTCCTTCAGGTCACTTCTTAGGTTATAAAAACTGAGTTTTGTTTATTGCAAGTATTGTATTTCTCTTTGCAGTTAAAATATACTTTCCTCTAATGCACTTATAAATAAAAACCAACAAGCAACAGAGTTTTTGGGTGCTTAAAACATCTCTAAACTCAGGCCTGCAGAGAACAGCTTGCAGACAACCCCTTAGCTAATTCTCTATTACAAGTGTTTCCTTTCAGATATTTGCAAGCATGACTGAGAGGTTTCCAGAGGGCTCAAGTATTACATTTTTAACCAGATCTCACGCCCATTTTACAGATGGGCATGCTATTGCCCAAAAAATGGAAGGCATGCATGAAAACTGTTGAAACAGATCCTTCAAACCAAAGGAATCTCGGACTAGAGATATCTCAGTAATTCTCCCACCCGAGGTTGTTATCCGTGGTGATAGAAATTGACAGGGAAAGAAAAACAACAACTCTGCTCCGGGAAAGCATTTGTTTAAGCAGTGAGGAGTATATGGGGCTCTTGTGACTGCTGAATAAAAGTTCTGATGGAATCCTTTAAAGCAGCACTTAAACGAGGCAGAGGCACTGTTGGGACAGGAAGAAATGAGGCTCAGACAAAAACGGGCCTCTTTTCCACCAGTGCAATCACATGGTTACAAGCAACTTCCATGATTTTTAGTAATACATCCAGGGCTCCTACCACAAACAAAATTTCTAAATACTGTTTTATAAAACACATTTGGGTGATACTTTTTATATGGAGGAAGCAAAACAAAACAACTACGTAGCAACTTCAAAGGAAAAACAATATACATGTCCTATGATGAAATTGTCTGAATATTTTTACATTTTTCCTGTGAATTTAAGTGGGGTAAAGCTGGTTTCCAAATGAGGTCCCATAATTGTCAAACCAGCAACAGCAGAAGGAACCATCCCTTAAAGGGCCAGTGGCATAGATCTTCCCAGTCCAACCGAACATGGCATCTATGTTTGTTCTATGCCAACACACCAGCTCCTATCACTGGCCCAAAACTGTAAAACAGCCCAGATTTGGTAGGTCCAGATCCTTGCTCAGAACTCCCACTCAAGAACCCTTCTCTCAGCTAGTTACCCCAAACAGTAGGAATATAATTGACACTTACCATTCTGAAGCTTCATGTCTGTGAGGCAAACTAAACAAATTAAACGGATCCTGCTTTAATCTTCTTTTCTAGACCCCAAATGCCTTCATCAAAAGGAGAAACAAAAAACAAATGTTCCCTGAGGTCCTTTTCTAAACCACCAAGGTATAAGCAAGAAATAGCTGTCTTTTTTACTGAATGCCCAGAACCTCTCCCTTAACATTAACAACAGAAAATCATTTCTAACATCCCTCTACTCCATCCGTCTCACTCCCCCATCTTTTCCTTTGCTTCTCTCATTTGTGGCCAAGTCAAGGCTTAAGTTACACTTTAAATCAAAATCTGGAAGATGCTTCAATTGGATGTTTGGCTTGGCAGACCTCCTGTAAAAATCCCACGTAAAGACACAGTTGTTTCCTTCCTGCAAATGAACTGTGGCGTTCGTGGTCCCTCTTGCTCTCCCCAGTGAACACTTCGCCTTTAAATGCGCTTAAGCTGTGGGACTTCATTTGGGGCTAGCTGTCCCGCAAAGCTCATTTGGCTCTTACCATTAAGGCAAGAGGCTCTGAAAGGCTGGCAATACGCTTTTAACTATATTTGAGAGGCCAGTCATATCTTGTTAGCAACAGCTGCACACTTACCCGGCTTTCAGGGCCTTGACAGAGCTGTCCTATTCCTTCTGGGATTAGGAACGCAAAACGAAATGAACCAATCTTTAGCTGGAGCCATCCAGGCTGCGCCAGGTTCTCATTCTCCAAAACCCAAGTCAGATAGATCCTCCAAAGTCACTCTTCTGTCGGCTTCTCCTGGCATAGACAGCCCACCGAGGCCCTGGCTACAGTTTCAAAACTACTGCTCCATAAAAGGATTTTAAAGGCTGTGCTGGGAGCTGGGAGCTTCAGATCCCAGTTTGGCTTTTTCTCCATCAGCATTCCTCAGCAAGCCTGCACAAAGCGAAGTACGCTACATTATTTATGTCAGCTCTAGGCTCTGGAAAACACACACTGGCATCCTGATTACTAAGAATCCTCATGGATACAATTAAACCGTTCCCACATATATTTTTCCCTCCTCTCTTCCCAGATTCAACCTCTTTCAGAGGAGACAAAAGCACGTTGAGGCGTGTCCCAACTCATCTATCAGGAGCCAAGAGCACATTGAAATACGGCCACGATGGCAAATGAGCCGAGGGAAAAGGACACTTTCCCTGGAGTGGCTGGAAGACACTCAAGGGAGGAAAGTTCAGACAACAGTTTGAGGAAGCTCCCGCAAGTGGCCTCACTGCGTCAGGGGCATCGACATGGAAGCAGCAAAGTTGAGGCGCTACCAACACATTTTGATGAATTCATGGAAGATTGATTTAGAATGGGCTGTTAAGGGAAGGAAGGAGCATTTGGCACCAGGACTAACCCTCCAAGCTGGATGAAGAGCAATCATGCTCACCCAACAAATGCTCCTCGGTGCCCCATCCAAGTCACAGCACTAGACGGGAGGACCACTGACTTAGCCAAGTAGAACGATGACTCTGCCCCCAAGTCTCCTCTTCAGCAAAACGAACAATTCTCCAACTTGTAGTCCACCATCTCCCTTCTTGTCGATAGCTCGACAACACACGATGAGCTGGGCATTTTCGGCGCAGGCAGAATGAACTCTACACTGGCACAGCGAAGGTAGGAGGATGACAGAAACTTTCTCTTCTGTAGGAGTAGTGAGAAGGCTATGCATTTCCCCCCACGACTAGCTAGAAAGTCCCTGCTTGGCAGGCAGAGGTGACTTCACTTTGTGAAAGCCCCAGGCACTGCTTAGTGAAAAAACCTTTGGCGGGACCTCACAGTTAACTCAGTTTATCTAGGCAAGAAGTCAGCTTGGGGAGAGTCAGTTGTCTCATTCAGGAACACAAGGAGAAAAGAGCAACCTGCTTCTCTGCAAAGCTTCCTTTGAACATGCATTCCTGAGTTTTGCCATTTTTTTTAAGTGACTGTCACTTCCAATGACTTAGTCCATCCCAACTCAGATAGCTTGGGTGGAAAATTGGTGTCCGGGATAGAAACAATGGTAGAGAGCATGGTGTAGGTCAGTGGAGCAGAGCCCAGAGGGGGCAAACCCACTTTCTAGTGCACACAAGAGCCGAGTGATGGGGATTACTACAGCGCATGAAGAAGCAGAGCTTTCCGCAACACTAGACAGACGAAGAGCAGCATGATAGAACACACACACGTCTGTATTCTTATACCACATAATGATACAACAACCCAGACACTCAAAGATCTGATGAATGGAAAAGTAGATACCAGTTGCCCTGTGGGATGATTTCAGGTTGGAGTATTGGCTCCCTAGACCCACAACGCTGGGTCATCCAGTCCACTGGCCCCATGTGGACACAGCTACGCTCTCAGCTAGAAGCAGTTCCTCTGATCCTTGCCACTAAGGAATCCAACTCACGTTGTAATTTTTCTTGAAAAGGACTTAGAAGCAACTAACTAGAGTGACGAGGACACAGATGATTCCTTAGGAGGAAGGTTATTCAAGAATATCACTCTTCCTCCAATAAGAAAGCAATAATCAACTTAGAGGTTGACCTCAGACTACAAGTCTTGGCAAGGACCCCTTGGGGACCCTCTTGCTGCCGTCCAGAGCTGCAATGTGGGAAAGGCCTAACGGTCTGCCAGTCGTTTGCTAGCCTGTGGCCTTGGGAAAGTTGTTCGACCTCCCTGAAGCTCAGTTTCCTCATCTGGAAACTGTGGGCAATGAGACCCACTTCTAGGATTTTGAGGATTCAGTCATAAATGTAAAGTACCTAATTCAGTGCCTGGCACCTTGTGAGCTTGTAATAAACCTTGGTTATTATGAATTTTCAGGAGGTTACCAGTTCAATGGCACAAAACTTACCCTGACTGGCTCACAGATGCCTGAGCCCCATCTCTAAGTGTTCCCTGAACAATCAGATCGTTATTGACAATCTGTGTGCAAAGCACTGTAGTCATCACTATCATTTGCCTTCAATAAACTTGTCAGATGAGTTGCCCCATGACAGAGATGTCAATAAAAACTAAAGAGAGTACAAACGGAGAGTTTGAAGAGGAGGATCATGAAACATTTATTTTTTTAAAAGGGGATTCCAAAATTTAAAAAATAAACCGAAACACCTTTCTGTTGATTAAACTGTAAATGAAAACTATTTCAGAATTTTGATATCCACTGGGAGAAAAAGTGGCCTGAAGACGCATCCTTTCGAATCCTCCTTCTCTTATCTACATCCCCTACTCCCCAACCTACAAGGAACGGAGGGTGAGAACCTCTAATCTTATACAAAACTAGCATTTTACAAAAAAGGACAAGGAGGACCAGAGAGCTCAAGGGACTCACTCAATTTCATGTCACCCAGCATAGCTGAGCTGGAAACCACAGGTCTGACATCCTTTCCGATGTTCCTTCCATCCTCCCACAAGGCTGAAGATAAAACCAATGGAACTCACAGCCAGGTTTTTATTTCACTGTCCAATAAATTGGTTTCAACTCAGTCCAGTCTCTCTACTTTAATAATGTGTGTACAGGACCAGTACTTCACGAGGAACTTAATTTTTTCAGAAAGTGATGGCTTTAAATTTTGATTTTAAGTTTCTCCATAATGAGGTTCCACAGTTTTTATTAAGCCATTTTACGATCTAAGGTTTTCAGTATAGGTTTCTAAATCTTTTGAATGAGAAAAGCAATACTTCAAATTATGCATATTTTATAAAGGCTGCATTTTCATCGGATGATAATATACACATATTATTATTAATATCTTTGAAAAATACAGATGTTTACTCATATATCTCTTCTCTAATGACGTAGTTAATAGATATTTGCATCTTCTTCTGTAAAACAAACACAATAGGTCTTGAATATGGAGTTTGTTGAAGTGCTAACCATACTTATTGCTTACATAAACAAAAGCTATCAAAATTATAAATCTTCAAAAGAAGTAGGTTCTAGAACAATTCACTGCTAAGAAATACCCACAGACATTGTGACTCCATCCCTATAAACAGCTGTACTGCATGGACATCATTAAGATCCTTTTCTCAATTAGAGTTTCAAACAACTTCATCTTTCATTTCTTGTCAAACCACCTGAACAAAAATGCAGCATGTTGCATCACTTGCTGAAGCTATTTCTCCGGTTGAAACATGAATTATGAGTCCTTCTAAAACACATCAGCCAAATCAAGTTGTAACATGGCCCTGCTTTCTTCACTGCACAGATCACAGATAATCTCTTTCTAATACAAGTCATGATCTTGTTTCATTAAGTTAACATTTCCCTTATTTTTCCCTCCATGGTATGTACTAAATTAGCCAGCATGAAGCTGAACATTTGTTCTCTTACCAGGCATACAATAGTTCCCCCTTGTCTGTGGGGGATATGTGTCAAGACCCCCAGCAGATGTCTGAAACCACAGATAGTACCGAACTCTATATATACTATGTTTTTTTTGGAAAAATATCCATGATGAAGTTTAATTTATGTTAGGCACAGTGAGAGATTAACAATAACTAATAATAAAGTAGAACAATTATAACAATATACTGTAATAAAAGCTATGTGAATGTGGCCTCTCAAAATACCTTATTGTACATCACTTCTTGTGATGACATGAGATGATACAATGCAGAGATGATGAGATGATGAGATGAAGGGAGGTGAATGAGGTAGGCATTGTGACATAGTGTTATTTTCAGGTTGTGATCGACCACAGGTAACTGAAACCATGGAAGGCAAAACCGCAGATAAGGGGCAACTACTGTACTTCAGCTCAGGGCTACTCTGACTTTGCTGGGCCATCTGTACTTAGACAATGTGTGGAGTTAGAATGCTAATCTTTCAATACAGGCCTTTCTTTGTCTCTGTAAATAATATGAAAGCACAGTTGGTAGCGTTTAAATTCTAGGATTTTTTTCCATGTGGAAGCTCAAATTCAATTCCAAATGTTGAATATTGTTAAATATGTACTGCTGAGACTACCTCTGAGGCATAGGTGTGTCTCATCAGCAGCAGACTTGAGAAGCTATCATTGCTTCCAGAACAACACAAGGAACTACTTGGAGCACCTACTTCCTGTTTCCATAGGGGTGGACAATTGTTTAAGGCTACCTTTTAGTTGGTGGCAGATTCAGAAATTGTATAATCCTCATCTGAGTTAACTTTCATAAATGAAGCAAAAGGAAAGTTTTTTCCTCATCTTATTTCCTTCAGGGAGAGGACTCAGCACTTTTCTTGTCTACAGGAGCTGATTCAAAAACGTGGGTGATTCTACAACATTCCAAGTTACGGTTGGGCAAGAAGGCAGCAGGGCTTCTGATATGGAGCCCAAAGAGAGAGTACGGGGATGGAGGAGAATTGGCCCCATGTTCCCTATGTCGTGCCCTCTCTCCCTGCTTCAGAACGAGATGTCCTGTATATACTTTCCTGGGATCCTTTATGATGACACAACTCTGTTATCCTCTCTTAGACTGAGTCACCAGTGAAGGTTAGGTTTCTCTAGTGTTTTAGCAACCACCCTCCAACCCAACTCTCTCCTGAGCTATTCTACATCAAAGACAAAATCAAAATAAATTACTTACCCTAATGTGGATTCAAAGAGTTTTAATGGGACTTACACGGTCATTTAGTTGAAATCCCTCATAACATCGGTGGGAAAAAAAAGATCAAGGAGGATAAGAGACTTTCCTAAAGTCATTAGGGCTCACTATGGAGCTGGGAAGAGAACCCTGGTGCATAAATTCCTCTCATGTATATAGATTTATTATTTTCTTTTTCCTTTCTTCCTCCCATGCCAACCACCCCTCCACTCTCCCAACCTTCGCCATACCTGAAAAAAGATCATGGTCATTGTTTTCCTATCTGTGATTTCGTGTTGCCAGGGAGGAAGTTGAAGTTTGGGCACTATTCTAAAGAAGACCCTGTAGGATTTTCAAATGCCCATTGTGGGTGGAATCACAGCTGTAGAAGCGGCCATTTCCCCCAAGTGTTCACAGCTGGAGAGTGACCTCTTATTTTGAGTTGTGAAGGAAGTCCAACGTCTTGGTCAGACACAACTAGATTTGAATCTCCTAGCTGCGTGTGTCTCCAACCTTTACCTCCCCCATAAATACACCAGGGAAAATAATGGTGCCTGGTTCACTCAGATCTTCTGAAGGTTTAATGCACTGTGCCTGCCATATGCTAAAGCCTCGGTAGCTATACAATGCTATCATGATCTTTTCATCATGGACTCAGATATAGCAGAGGATAGTTACAAATTCTCCCTCTGCACTTGAGAATCCAGGGCAGAGCCCACTCATTTGAAGGACTCCCTCTCTGAAAGGCACGTCTCTTGAGTGGCCGGCAATATCCTGTCTTACATCATTTCATTGTGAAGAGGGCTGATATGACATACTGGCTTGAGGCACCATGAACGTGCAATTTTCTGCTTAAAACCACAAGAAAAATAGGACTTCAGACAACAGGGAATTGTGATCCAACTCTAGTTGAGCCACAGGGAATCTCCGTCTCTGCAAGGGGATGTAGACTGACAGATTCACACTTGTCACCACTGGCCAGGGAAGGGCAGATCTGGCCCTGACTCTCCTATTAATTAAATAGGTGGGGAATTTCCCCAGATCAGCATTTACCAACATTAGTCATTTTCCTCCCAGCTTCTGGATTTTCGCTCTATCCAGTCCTTCTCTGGAGCTGCTGCAGCTGCCATTCCATCCAGTCCACCGTTCTTTCATTTACTTAATATTTTTCTTTAAATTGACTTGCTATTTTCAACTTCAGCCTCATCCTAGCTAATAATATCCATGAAATCACAGCTTAGAAGTGCTAGCTATATAAAACTACATATATATATATATATATGTTCCTAATGTGCATTACAACAAATAAATATTAAAATAAAAAAATATTCAACTCTGTGCCTCTTAAAGACATCTTGCACATTTGTACCAAACACACTGACACCCACATGGCACTCAAACATGTGTTTGGAAAAACTGTCCTAGATGAAAATGTTATTCTTTTTTTTGAAGCAGCAGAGTCTCTACTTTGTGCCTTTTTCTCTTCAAAATGCAGTGCCTCAGAGTGAAATGTCACCAGGAAAAGAAATGCTCTAAAAATGAAGTTTTGATTATGTCCTACAGCCCAGATAGAAAACTCAGAGAAGAGCCCACACGCTACTTTTCATCCTGGGCACTGATGCTTAAATGTGTTAAAATGCTATTTATTTTCCAACAGGCTACTTGGGCTTGGCACCATGTAAATCCAAAGTGTTTGTAGAGGTTCCCTTGGGGACAAAGGAAAAGTCATCTGTATAGATCAAACGTGTATTAGCTACATTAGCAATTGGTCCCTGGAGACTGATAAAGACCTTTTTAGACAGATTTCACTGCACAGCTTTTAAAGAGTTTTCATTGAACTAGCCTTGGGTATCATGGGTTTGGGGCTTTATTCATGTCCTAAGCGTCAGAAAAGAAAGATGGAAAATGAGAAGCTGGGATGAGGACGGCTACCTTCGTTGCAGGCAAACCTCCATACCACAGCCACGCTCCTTTCCCCCATCAATATTTCATGTTCTCAGAGTCATAAGAAAACACATCTGTTGCCTTCCTGCATTGTAATGTGTAGGATGGTGGAAAGATTATTACAGCACAGGTTCAAGAATTTAAAAATTCATCACCTTCTCAATTTAGAAAACTGATATATGGTTAGGACTTCTGACGGCTTTATAGGTTGAGATGACCAAGGAGGCCAGAGCGCCGTTCCTGAGAAATCTATGGAGTAGGGGATGCAGTGAGAGGGAGGGGGTGGTTGGAACTGCTACTGCTCAGGCTGCAGACTGAGCCAGTGAGGAGGAGGCCTCAATACTTTGGCTTATTGTCAAAGGAGGGTTTGCTTTGTATCACGGCAGTGTGTGGGGGAATAGAGAGAGAGAACGCTGCCTTGGTTGTAAGCTCAGAAGCAAAGTCCAAGTTTTCAATAGGTACGTACTCTTCCTGCTCCTCCCACACTCCAATGATCTTTCCACCATAGCACAGTGGTTCCCAGGGCCTTGCTCAGTTCTGTGTGTGGGTGTGCAGAACTTGTAAGCTCCCTAGCAAAG